GAGGCCAAGCCATCCTCCCCGCCACTGCCACCCGCCCCACCCCCCGCCCCCAGGGGCAGCACATCCGCACTCGAATGGAAGCTATCAATAATTGAGTGCCAGAGCTGTGCTGCTCCGAGCGGTGGGGGACCAGGGCTAGCACATCAGTAAGCGAAAAAACCTGCAGGTTCTGGGGAGACACTGAAGCTTTCTGCAGACCCGCCTGCCTTCTCGCCAAGGCAGGGCCAGAGCGCAAGCTGAGACCAAAGGCTTCTCTGACAAGAGGAGGCCGCAGCGGGGCGGGGGTGGGGGCCGTGTCCGTTCACCAGCTTTGCTTCTGCCGGACCCTGTGCGTCACGCCCACTTCAAACAGGAGGCACCCAGGCTTTCGCCCACCGCAGTGTGCTTACCTTCCTCTGCCAACTCCTTATTGATGATGAGCTTCCCGTGTCGGAGGTAGTCTAGGACCGGCCCGAAGTAGGTAGGGTCTCTGTCAATCAAATACGCTCCCGTCTCATCCTGCCAACCAGACATGAGAGGTCACTGCCGGGGGGCCTGGGGAGCCTGCACCTCAAGTCGGGGCGTCTTAGTGCCCCAAAAGACAAGCCTCTAGTTCCGTCAGCTGAAAAACACTGCAGCCAGCAGGCAAGTGATTGGCAAGAAGGGCAGGTCTTGCCTTGTACTTTCAGCTTCCGCGGAGGGGACTCATCCTCTCGACCCCTGAGAGGATTTACTTACTGGGTGGAATTTCTAAAATCTTGGAATTGGCTGGGACTGCTGAGGCTGGACACGGGTTCCTAACGTTCTCATTTGACGCCGCGGCTGTAACCAGGGGCTCAAGCACAGAACAGTTGAGGGGAGGGTCCAGGCTGGGCATGGACTTGATGGCAACGTGTGTGACAAAGAGAGGGAGGACCATGGCCTCTTACTACTCTGAGACCAGAAGAACTAGATGGGTGCCCCACAACGACGGACTGACAGCTCAGATTGGGATTGCTACTGAAGGTCCTGCGCAGAGTGGGAGAAAAATGCCCAACCCCATCCGAAATCATAAATAGACCAGACGGACTTACTCGTCCGGTAGAGACCTGGCCGGTGCAGGCCCGAGACCGCGAGCCCTGGTCAGCTCTCAAACCCGGAACCGAACTCACCCCCACGGCTCACTCTGCAGTCAAACAACAGAGAGGCTGACAAGATGACCAGTCACACCCACAGCTGCTCCTCAGAGCCCTCAGCCCTCAGGGACCAAATAAGCGGCTGTGCTCAAACATGAGGTTCACTAGGCAGGCAGGAAGGGGGCAGGCAGGGGGGGGGGGCGTGTCAGGTGGGGATCCCAGGGAGAAGGGGAAAACAGCCATGAAGCAGAATGTGTACACACTGTTCGGTGGGAAATGGATTTGCTCTGTATGCTCTCACTCTGAGTCCAGTATTTGAAATTAAGCCAATAAACACAGGGAGGAAGAAAGCTGTTTGGCTGAGACTTGGAATTCGTGCTCAAGGTAGACATGCTGATGTCTGCATTGCCCGATTCTGAGAAAACCTCTGTTTTGTTGGCAGCGCTCCTGAGCTCCAGGCCACCGTCAGTGAGCACCGGCACTGCTAGCTGTAATCTCACACATCCCGGTTCTGTGTCCAGAGGAAGCCTGGCACTGCCAGGCATTTGGCTCTGAGCGACTGTAATCCGACTCATCTTTACAGTAAAAGGACCAAGGAGAAACTGGCTTATTCTGCAACAAAGGTGGTTTTAGGGTGGAGTGCCAATAATTCCTTGATAAACCGGAGTTTGGGGCTCTCTTTAAAGGGACTGCTGCCGAGGTTTCGAGGGACCTGCGATGTTTCAAAGCAGGACGCACTGTGATCCACAAATGCTGGCAGGACCCCAGCTCCCAGGTAACTAACGATGGGGCATAGACAATGAAGCCAAGGATGCTTTTCGGTCGGAAGCCACAAGATGAACATGTAAAATGTGCAAATCCCCACAAGCGTCCGGACTGGAAATGGGCTATCGGTCCGGTCTTGTCACTTCTCAACCCTTTGGCTAGCAGCCACGCGTCCTGCCCATCAGCATTCGTTGGTCTTCACTGCCCCTTGGTCAACCTAGGTTTGGACTGGCAAAGGGTGGCTGGCCATGGGTGCGACTGACCTCCAGGGTGGACCTTGGGCAGTGGCCAGGGTGGAGACCGGAGGGAGGAAGGTGCAAGAGGAGGAGGAGGAGAAGCGGTCAAGCCACGGGCAGTCTCGGGCTTGAACCCAATTTGGCACAAGGGTCCAGAGAGGAAGTCTGAGAAAGCCAAAGCGATGCCTTGCTGGCCTGACCCAGTTCTGGACGCATCTGGCACAGGCAGTGAGGGGCTGAGGAGAAGCCAGGGCAAATGCCCGGGGATCCGAGGGGGCTGGGCTGGGTGCGGGTGGGCACACTGTGGGGTAGACCTTAGCGGAGGGCCAAGGGCGGGGCCAGGGGGAAAGGCAGGGGGCGCCTGATAATGGGGGACCCACGGGGTCTCTCTGAGGTCCCGGGGGCCAGCCTGGGCGCTGAGGGAGAGGTGAGTGTCCACTGCGGCGGGAGGACCCCGAGGACGAGCCTGGGAGGAAGGAGGGGGTCCGCAGCCCGGGGGCGCGCCCGAGGGCGGGGCGCACCTTGTCCGAGTCCAGCTCCGGGTCCTCCTGGCAGCAGAGGCGGCAGAGGAAAGACTTGGGCTCCCGGCCCAGGGTCTGTCTGGTGGTCACGAAGTAGGTGCCGCCCACGTTCAGCCGGACCCAG